ATAACCATCTAAAAAGGCAAAAATAAATTTTGAATAAAGCAAGTGACTGAGAACTAATTTGTTTCTGATTTGATAAACCACTACTACTAATACTGATTATCCCTCAGCAAGTAAACTATACATTTCAGAATCGTTTGTTTTTACGCCTACAGAGGTAAGTGTAACCGAGGGGACGATCAAGAAATTTCAGCCAATTTGCCCCTGCATAAATTTTTTTAATTAGTCAAACAAATGATTGGTGTTTGGTAAAGTGCATACCAGCCAACACTTGTCTTGTGTACAGACTTGCTGATAAAAGAAAATTCCTCGCCTCCCTGTAACACGGGTACAAATAAACACGATTACTGTCCTGTGTACACCCATCAGATGACGAAGTGATCCAATAAACTTCAATGTCTGTGAATGACACACAAGCTTGATATTGGAGTTAGGCAAGGAGTAAATTAATATCACCCGAAGCCATGTAGCAGTGATGCGTTTAGGCGGCACACTCAGATACCTTAAATCTCCTCCCAGACGCTCAACCGGTGGTCCATGCACGTTTCACCAACCGGAGTACAGCATTTGGATCGTCCCCAGCCAACCTAACTTGAAAGCTTAATTCCCCTACAATGATGCATGCACGATGAATCTCTTGCCTGCAAAAGTACGCTTTTAAATGAAGCAGGGTTACCCCCACAAAATTGTGACTAAATTTGATAGTACTTGTAGGGAATGATAATAGAATGGATGAGTGCTCCACTTAAGACAGCTACCCTTTGTGTTCTGCATGGTATCTAGCTTATTCAAAAATGCCACACAGTGACATGTTTGGTTTGCCAAAATCACTCCCTCTGTTTGCAGGTGGTGTGGTTGCATATTAGGCGGAATACCCACAGATACATGTTGTTCGCATGGTAGTATGACAGCAGCAACGTAAAGTTACGGATCACATGCTCTGTAAAAGTTTCACCAACCACGACTCACCACTACTGTATTTGGTGAACAAGATAGAGAATATATTAAGATAAGGTATTTCTAGTAGCATTATTTAGTTGAATAAGTCTGTTGACGTGCCTAGGTGCCGGTTCGGAGAATACCAAATGTTTTCATTTTTCCGTAGGTTATTCTGTCTAAGCAAATTGTCTACCACTAAAAGTACCCAGTTTTTAATAACTGAAGATGCCTGACCCTGAAATTGCGTCCTCTGTTCTGATGGCGTTTTGTGTGCTGGAGTTAAACTTTAAAAATCCAGGATAGTTATCGGGTTATTGTTCGAGTCATCAGGCTAACGAGTCATATCACCGATGTCCGAAGGGCTTACTTATACCTGAAAATCCATACGCGTCCGGTCTGTGCTGGCGGAATACTCGTAACACGCTTGTCTCGTATGTGAGATCTCCGGAGTTAACACCCGGGGGCGACCAAAGATATTCGCTGAAGATGAGCTCTAATAAGGGTGCAGCTCGATTTTAGTGCTTTCCTTTTTTGGTGTGAACTCATCAGGACGATTGCGCCATAAGCAGGACGACGGTTCAAACGGGAGTGACGTGAGCGTGAATCCAACAAATCCAACAAATCCATCACACGAGCACGTGAGCACTGTTTGTCCAACCTTGCTTTATGTTCACACGGATGGCCACGTGAAAAACTGAAGGTTAAAAATGGTCACTTCTCTACTAAAGCCTAAATCATTCTCAAAGCATCTGTAGAGTTGGCTGAGATATCACCAGGCCTCATCCTCCACACACTGAAAAGCAACCCCATGAGGCGGATACGGTTTCTGTTGACAAACGCTTTGCTCGTAGGTTAGGCCAGGCACACACAAACGTGACCGTCGACAAACCTTTGCATTTTCCGAATAGTTAATTAAACCCGATTCATCCGAAGTCCGAACACTAACACCTCAACTCCCGAGTGACGGCAGTCGTATTCATTTAGCATAATACTTACCGATAAGCGGTATGTAAATACTTACTATCAGCGTTAGTACTTTTTTTTTGCCCCAACTAGCTATACCTTGAGGGTTTTCTGGCCTTCAGAACGTTTAGGAATAGCGAAACTGTTATTTGCATAAAGCGGTCGTGTGATTTCACTCTACTTGGTTCACCACTAATAGTAATCAGCAATCAGTAACTGTGTGTGACAAATAAGCCGTTTTATGTAGGACGAAGGCAGACGCATCACCGTTTTCATTCCTTCACAACAACCCCTATTTTCCAAAACCCCAAATGAATATTAGTTCGTGGTTTTATATGACTAACGTTCTGGCCAAAAACGAAGTCCTGGTTGAAGACTCCGTTGTTTGGGTCAGTGTAAAAGCTTTCGTGGGTATTGCAAACGGACAGAACCGGTAAAAGAGCCTACCGTTGGTAGTTCAAGAAAAACGGAGTTATTAATAGTTGTATTTTAGCTTTCCCCCATTTACTGCAATTTTCTTATTTGTTCATCCAGTTTCTCTAAGAACAATTACTTGTGTGAAACTTCGTTCTCTGGGTGCCTAAGTATTTACTACACCATTTCCTGGTTGATTTTGCTTTTTACTACAAAGCATACCCACAAAAACCAACGACCTAGGTATTTGCAGTCCTCCGATCACCCTATTGTGTTTCGTAAGACGCAAGCAAGGTGAAACACAAGCAGATCAGTGTCGGGATCTACTGCAATTTCAGAGACTAAACTAATTGCGTGCGCTACGTCAGACTAAAGGCTACCAGTTATCATGTCCAGGGCCTTTTCGCGGAAGTGGCGCTCTGTCTATTAGGCTTAATGGAGCGAAATATATATAGGGGAAAGAAAAAAGAAAAGAGGAGAAAAGAAGCTGTTTGCTCCGGTCTGTTTAAAAGGAGGGTTTAAACTGCCAAAAAATGAAAGGGAAAACGCCATTCAAAGTGCTATTTAAACTTGTTAAATCACATTTAAAAATCGTCTCAAAATTAATTGTGGGGTTTTCGAACTACACTCACTCAAATGAAACTCTCGTTTAGGATGTTCTTCAACTAAATGTTTTGCACAAAGGCCACTTTTGGTTTCATTTGGTATGATATCCGGGATATCGCGGTACATTTTCTTGAAGAAGCAATATTGCTACAAGAGATGCTGTACTTGGAATCAGCTAAGCTTTTCGTTAAAACCAAGTTGGCGTGCAAATGGGTGTGTTTTGCGGATCCCCTATCGATTCATCAAAGATGCAACACAGAGTTGATGAACCCTAAAGATTTGCGCCTACCCAATGAGCCCGAACTGATCATTGACTGTCAAACAGAGTTCGGAAACACCAACTTTATGAGTGACGTTTCTTCAAGAAATATATCCCGATATCTCGAATATATTACCAACTGAAACATAGGAAAGCCTCTGTGGAGGAATTTCAGTTGAAAAAGAATAGCACACAAATGATGCAGTCGCGATTCAGTTGAGTTCTCCGTCAAAATCGAATTTATGTGCAAGTGAATATAAGTCGCGAAGTTCGAACAGTTTGGGTTGAAGTAAATCATGATGCTGGCGGAAACTCTGGAGGCTTGCTGTTGAACCCGAAGTGTGGAAACCGAACCGGCCATCGGTTGTTGAAGAGTTTTCATCGATCTTACAGATAATGCTATTTTTAAAGAACTGTAAAATTTTCGCTGTTTTTAAGTTGTTACCTCAATGATAATTTCTTCTAACGCGTAGTGTGGTGGTTTTTTGTTCCATTCTCCTGACCTGCACAGTTGATAGCACGTAATCTGCAACAGCTTAGGTTTGTCGTCAGCAGCAAACTTCCTCCAAATTTGGAAGAAGTAGTAAAGTTATTATTACATATTTCTACTCGTAACTAAACATCACGGTGTCAAAAACAGGAACAATGAAAACCTATACAGAAGCATTTTACAGCTGTTTCATCCTTATTGAACATCATCGGGAGTGCAAATCTCACGAACCCGCGACCTGCTGGCTAGCAGTTTGGACATTTAACTATTAGATTACCGTTTGAAACTACCAATGTAATCATTACAGTTTGAAGAAGTAGTCTCCGTGCGACGCCCGCTAACTATTAGTGGCCACTGACTCCAACACAGGGCGGACATTCATCCACCATAACGCTATTGGTTCAGTCAGAAATAGCTTTCCTCGTTAGTCAGTAAAACATGCGATGGTAGAAATTTTTTCACACTTATGTAAAGTTAACTACCCAACCAAAATCTTACCCAAGGCTGTTTCTTTGCACTGAGAGTAACGTTACACACAGATAAATGGGTGAGGACGAAGGAAGGTCCGTTTGTTTCCTAAATCAGCAGATTACATGTTTACTCCTTCGAACGGCAACTTTGCTAATGGTGAGGCTGAATTTATTTATTCCGAACCATTGTTTTTCACGAGATTATGGCAGTCCATGTGATGTAAGTCAACGAAATAGCCAAGCAACCACACGAGTTCAAATATAAAGTGATAAATATTTATGCGTATGGCTGCGGGTCATGACCATTATCAGGACCAACAAGTTGAGTACTGCTATTGGAAAAAGATTACGGCAGAAATTCTGTACTTCTCCATTCTCTTCTACAGCTTATGTCGCTCATTATGAACAGCTTAAAAGTTACAGATTCAGCAAATCGGAGTACGTAACTAACGTTCCATTCACTCCTACTGACAGCGCAAGCAATATATTGTAGACAATTTCACCAGTTTTATAATGCAGCTAATGTTGGCTGTGTCCAGAAAACCTCCCTTAAACTGTCCGCTATTTTAAGATTGCCCCAAAGTCAAATCCAATGTTTAATTTCTCTTAGGATTCTATTACGTCAGACTGAGTCAGATCTTGCAGTGCCCAACACTAAAAATAGCCCGTCTACGACAACGTCATTGCTGTAAATATTCGTCGAGCTGTACTTGACTTGAGGTCATTGATCCACGGTGCTAGTAGGACCTGAGATGCCGATGTCATTGACTAGTGATTGACGAAAGATTTCTGTATAGGACATCGATTCCCGATTTCATTTTATTTCCTTTAATTCTCTTTTATTTGAACCACATCCTCCCAGGTCTGGTTTCAAAACCGACGTACAAAATGGCGCAAAAAGAATGCCGCAGACATGGTCACCTCCCGAGCAAAATCCTATCATGATCCGCATGGATCATCCGGAATTTTAACCTCAACTGTAGGACAAATCTCGACGAACGGTGCGTCATACGCTGAGAACATGGAGGTGGGCAGTGGTAGTTTGAGTGGTGAAGACAGTCGGTCATTAGAAGAGATGTCCGAACACAAGTATGGACGAACCACAAAACAGGAGTGGCACGGACTACCTTATGACGTCGGGACAAATCCGCCATTCAGCGTAAATGAAGCCGCTTCAAACGACAGCCATATCAGTGTGAAAGAAGAGAAACCCGAATCGGCCACACAAAGACCTACTGTCAGTGATGGAATGCTCAAGAACGACCCAAGCATTACCAAGCCTCCTACTATTTCTGAAAATCCTGGAATGATGGCTTCAGCGTTTCCCTGGTTGTCCACAATAGGATCTCAACAATATTTTGATTTCAACACAATCCCAGTCAAACAAACGACTGGTGTCAATCGAATGCATGTATTTCCTAGCTTAAATTGTGCAATTTCGAATTTCTTACCAGCTGAAACTGGCGAGAGACATACAAACTGCGAATCCGGAGAATACCGATCCGCCGCTTCAGATTCCCAATTATCAGTGCCATTTTCCCCAACCCGTTCAGATGGTAATCCCCGAAGTCAACAAGTGCAAGGCAGAGCAGCTCATACGGATAATATTGTTCAGTTTCCTTGTCCATCAACACCAACCCCAGCAAATGCAGTTCCTAGCCCTCTTTCACCAAACCCAACACGGTCTGTGGACAACTCACATCACACTACAAAAAACGAATCGCTATTCACTAAGCACATGCCCTCTTCTAAGAACTCCTACGTTCTTACACATTAAACATGAAGCAATTCTAGGTCAGCAAGGTAGCGCAATCACAGAGCAAATCGGTTCACCGAATCAAGGAGGCGCAGATAAGATGAAATTGCATTTGTTCTCCAACTTGAATCAACACCCAAGGCTTCCTTCTCTTCAGAAAGCTCCTCTTCAGCCTCTGTGTCCACAAAAAGACATTATTCCAGCCCATTGTTTGGACGGAATTGATGCACTCCCCCCATCATTAGGAATAGATTACGAAGTCATAGATGTCTCTTGTTACTTCATCAAAACGGAAGGTGAAATCGGTCTACACGGTGATTTGTCAAAACCTTCACTATACTGAGCTTTTTTCCTGATATCGTCTCATATGACCGCTTCTCATGGACACCGAGTTTCTGCGGATGCCCAAATGCAAATTACTACATTATTCCCACAGTACTAGCTACTCCGTTTCGCCTAATTAATCCAACACAATACTCAAGTGGCATACTGAGATGTTTTTTATCTGGTAAATAAAAGACGATAATGACATTCCTCCTCTTCTAAAGGATCGTTTTCGGCCTCTCCCATTATTTGTTCATTTAAAAAAGCTCGTTTTGCTTATTTGTCTCAAGCCCTACCGTATATTGGTGTTTTAAAATGGGTCAGTCAAAATAAATTGCCCAAATATGCTAATAGGATGAGTCATGTCACAAGCAGGTAAGCGGTAGTATTGGAAATGCCACACGATTAGGGACAGTAATGTTTGACAGTCACTTGTGAACATCGCAATCCAGCCTCGTCTTTTTCAGAGACAATTCTCAGTGAACATAAAACGGCTCCTAGTCACAATTTGTAATGTCCAACCTTTTCAAGAAGAACTACGCAGAAGCAGAATTAGGCGGCCTTGCTCACTCCAAAAACGTTCTGAACACTTTTCTGTTCAAAGATGCTTAAATTATATCCTGTGACACCCTGGAAAGGAATTTGTCAAAGGTAGTTCAGTAGTACTTAACAACAAAAAATTCAGCAAACCTAATACACTACTCCTAAGGTTGCTGAAAATTCATCGACAGCTCACGACCGGTTTCACCCTTCTTGAGGGCTATCTGGTAGGCCCAGTCTCCGAGTTTCCGTCGACCTTATGTCATGCTTGAACCCAAATTGCATGAAATTAGTGAAATATGCTTATTTGCATAGAATTAGGTCTTGACGGGAGACTCGCCTAGGATCTAGATGAATCTGCCGTTTGTGGTTTTTAAGAAACCTTGTGAGTAGTATATTACGTATACTAATGTGTCACAATCTCTCAAACACCGTACCAAATGAGACGTGACGCGGCCTTGTGCAACACATTCAGTTGCTTCATTCAGCGCACTATATTAACAAAGTTTCACAAGCTTCTTGAAAACAATTAGCCTGCTGACAGGGCGAAACGCACCAATATTCTCTGGTGCCAATACGCATATCGTTGCTCTAAAACTTGACAGATTATGAACATATAGTCCAGACAGTACCTTTCCAGAAGGATTCTTGCTTGCTCTTCTGGGATTCCCGTTTTCACGCGCCTTCGTGAGTCGATGTAAAGAAAAGCAACGCAAGAGTCAGACTACGGTAAGGATCTTCACTGATTTTCACACCCACTGCAAGTGTTTTTTTAGAAACTGCATCGCGTTAGCTTAAATATCGTGTCAACTGAAACAAAAGAGGCGTGATGCATCATAAACGATAGATTCAGCGGGATTCCAAGTGAGTCTGTCGTCAAAAGTGAATTGGAATGCAAATGAGTGCATTTCGCTTAATACACCCAATCAGTTGGTGTGAATGGTTGATATTCAGTTGACAGTAAATTATTACCATCGTTTTCATCCTCTCCAAATGGATAGCAGCCCAAGCTCCCTTCCTCCATCCCATGAAATATGAATGTTCATACTCACACCGCTCTCGTTTAAAAGGTCGTCCACCTGTTCTGGCTTAATTAATCCGGTGAGCCAACACCGAAGAGAAGCATTGGACTCGAGTTTCGCACTTATTGGATCTCATCGGCAGTTCATATCCGATGACCATGCCGAGATTTGAACCTCGGACTTCTGACGTGCGAGGCGAGCTTGTTAGCACTAATCCAACATCGCACGCCAAACGTATCTGAGTTTTCACGTCTGAACAGGCAAACGAGCTCACGCTTGAGCGAACGACGACACAGAAACTGTCTTGGTTGTGGTGATCGATTGACCCGCCAGTCAGGGCCTCCCAAGAAGATAGCGTCACACACTGGACAAGACTTGGCTTCACTTGTGGGGTTTTTCGGGATGAGTATTTTGTTCAAATTCACGCCACTCTCGTTTGAACGGTCGTCCTCCTATTCTGAGCTCTAATGAGAGCGAAACTCGAGCCCAGTGTTCCCCTTTGATGTGGACTCCCAAGATGCTCGTTGCTGAGAGACGGCATCCTCAAATTGTAAAAAGTTACATTTCTATGGTCGAAAAAAACATCCCGGTAAGTTTATTTATCCGCTTGTTTGCTTTCCCAATATTAAAATTTTACGCTCAAAATCTCTTTTTTATTAGTTCATTTCAGTTTAATTGCATTTTCGTCATTGATCACGGAAACGAACAATATTCCTAGTGTAACTGACAGCCTAATCCATCACTTCTATAAACCGGCGCGTGTACTGCTATTACTTGTCATGTTACTATTCGGCATCATCATTTCACCATGTCGTGCAAGTAAATCATCCATAATCGCTTTCGGATAATAGTAATTGGAACACTTCCACCGGTACACCCCCTTCTCTAGGGCCCGCGCGTGCATGCAACCTATGTAGCATCGTTTCCTAACCTTCAAGCGTAGGCACTGTTGTCTCCACACACAAACAACTCGCGCGCAGCTCTATTTTGACCATAAATCTTGGTCCGATTCTGCCGGATATCGTAGTCATGATTATGCTGGGGATGATGATGATGATGATGACGGGAATGATTATAACGACGTTGAATTTGATGCTTGAGTTTAAAAGGCCAACAGCCAATCTGTCAATAGTTTCAACTCACATGCGTGTGGCACGCTCGTTATCTTGTGCGAACAAAGATGTGAGTTTTTGCGTGTGCTTGTGTGCGTGTGTGTGCACATGCAACCATGTGCTTGTTCATCGGCAAATACGTTTGTCTTCTCTATCTTCCGTCCGCTGCCCTCCCCTGCTGCCGCCTACTGTGTATACTGCACAAGAATTACAGGAAGTGACTCGTTCGCACCGCTTGACGGTGATCGTTGTGTTTCTGGCATCTAAGCCTGAGCAGTTCTTGTATCCTTCGGTCAGTTGTGTATCATTATTGACATTCAAACTGTAATAATAGGCGCAGCTGCTACAGCAACGGCAGCAGCAACCACACTGTGGGTAAGGCTTCATAAGACTTCTTAACTAAACGGATGCGTGCGAACAATAAATAATGATGGACACTGTTCGAATCAAAGTGTCAGGTCCCTGACCGCGCTGAACTGAATGCAATATTGAGTTCGTAAAGTGACAGGAGAAAATGGGGAATATTCTCAGAGCAAAACTAATGGGACGGAAGAAAGGATGCATAGCGATCGTCACATCGACACTTTTGCTGACGTCCGTTAACACCGGTTTAAGAAAAAGACAACTTAGTTCCTAGCAAATATTCATTTCACTTTTTGATAAATTGGCCTGCACTGAGGCATAGCGAATGGTTTGTGTAATATTTTGTCGCTGGAATGAGCGAACTGATAAAGGCGGTCATGAAACTTATTCTACTGACAGTACAAACAGTATGAAAATCCGTTTTTGTAAGTGCTCAAATAACAGTGATAATACTAGTACCAATAAACACAGCTGCATTTAAATAGTACTACTACTCCAGTAGCGGAAAGCCAATTCAATTCAGATAGCTGAGGATACGGAAGAAGACTTAAAGTGACTTCCATAAATAGGACCTTCACAAGAAAAGCCACTCCCTTTAAGAGTCCACAACAACCGTCCGGTAGCCAGCACTACGTGAAAGGGCAGAATAACACCTTTCCTCTTAGTAACCTCTCTCATTAGGTCTATATGTGGATAGCTTTGTAGATGGTGGAGTAGTGTTAGAGTAGTATGGTACAGTGCAGTATAGCACAATAAAGTGCAGTGAGGCATATTACAATTCGTTATACAGTGGTCTAGTAATACAGCATAGTATTGTGAATGGTATCTAGGTCACGAATGATGAGCTTCAAGTTAGTGCAATGAGGAAGTATGTGACATTGAATGTTAACTGGGTGTTTGTGTTATCTGTGTTTTTATTCAAGTATGAGGATACTAGGCCCGCCAGAATTGTAGATGTGCCGGCTTTTTGCAACGGACTCTGTTGACTGAATCCGTTGAACTGTCCTAACATTGATGGATACAATTTACGTGTTTCTCCAGACGGGACAGGAGATCGTTCCGAAAGTAAAACGACTAAATGATGAAACCCATTTTTAACAAGTGCAGCTTGATTTATGGTAATATACTTGTCAACGATGCGTTAAATTACACCCTATAACACAATAGTTTAAGTTCTTTCAGCTACAGGGAGTTTCAAGCATTCCACTTTTCTTTCATGGATTACCTTACCCAAACATACGGTAGTTTCCTATCCAAAGATGTTCAGAAGCAACAGAAAACGCGAGTTCAACCGTAGAAAGTATTCGAGCACCGGCCACTGGTGGGCTATAGATTTTGAAACAGCGCTTACTCGGTCCAAATCCGAATGTGTAAACATATGTTACATCCTAGAGTTAATTTTATTACTCTATACACAAACTGTTCAATCATTGGAATTCTGAAATGACCCTGCTGAGAGTCCTTGTGATGCCGCCTGAATTGTCGAGAATTTGTTGCCATTTGACTGAATCAATCATTTCCAAAGAACCGCCTGTTATTCACCGGGGTCGATGTAGCTGATTACGGTGTCTTTCGGTAGCCACAACCAGCCACGAATAGACTAGATAATGTAATCACCCAACCTTCTCAAGGCACTTCGGTAAAAGCCTCTGTATCTCCA